CCACCTCCCCGGGCTTGAGGGGGGCTGCCTGCTCAGCTGTCAGGTATCAATCATGAGGGGGTGGAGGGAGGGCTTTGGACAACTCCTCCTCATCTGTCCTTTGGTTTGGAGTTCAGTGGTGACCAGTGCACTGTTCCTGAGCTTGTTTGGGGACTTCTTGGCAGAGATACTGGGTGGAGAGTGGTTTTCCATTCTCTTTTTTTATCTTACAGATGAGGAAACTGAGGCAAACAGGGTAAAGTGACTTGGCCAGGGGTTACCAATTAGTGTGTGTATCTGAGGCTGGATTTGAGCTCAGGGAGATGAGTCTTCATGAGCCCAGGCCCGGCTCTGTCCACTGAGCCATCTAGCCTGGCTGCCCTCGTGTTCTTCCTATTCTGACATCTAACCTGGGGTGGGGGCTGGGGACAGCGCACTACCACCTTGTCACTCCAGGTAGCTTGGTGACTATTACAGCTCTGTAAAAAGGCAATTTGAGTGTGTTTTGTTTTGTTTTGTTTTGTTTTTTTTCACAAGGAAGAAGAGAACTTTTTGTAGAACTGTTTGTAAATTGTTTCTTGTGAAGTGGTGGCCAAAATGAAAATTCTGGTTTTCAGGTTTTTATTCTAGTGCAGAAAGTGAATACTTTGGGATATATTATTGTTATTGAAAGGACACAGGGACTTACAGTTTGCGGTATTCCCACCCCCCATTGTGATCATGAGGTGGGCCCCCCATTCTTGGCGTGTGGGAGCCCCTTGTTGACGTCCCAGGTCCCCTCCTTAAGCCCGGTCCCGGGTCCCGCCCCTGCCATTTCTGCCCGACAGCAGAGCGAGGTAGGCAGGGTAAAATGTGGGTGTGGTCAGCAGCAGGGGGGCCACAGCGTCATTCCTTTTGGAATTGCGGGACGGTCTCTGTGTGTGGTGCGCTGGCCAAGGGTCGCTCTGACACTCTACCTGGGAAGTTGTCACTGGGGGAAGTACCCCCGAAGGGGCTGGGTCACAGGCCCCCCACCCTCCTCCCTGAAACTGACCAGGACTCAGGACTGATTCACCAGCCCCTGAGCTTTGGGTGGGCTGCCTGCCCAGATGTCAGGGATCATTGTTGGGGTTGTCTTTGGACAGCTCTTCCTCATCAGTTCTTTTGTTTGGAGTTCAGTGGTGACCAGTGCAGTATTCCTGAGCTTTTTTGGGGTCTTCTTGGCAGAGATACTGGGTGGAAAGTAGTTTGCCATTCCCTTCTACATCTTACAGATGAGGAAACTGAGGCAAACAGGCGTCTCTGAGGTTGGATTTGAACTCAGGGAGATGAGTCATCATGAGCCCAGGCCCAGCTCTGTCCACTGAGCATCTAGCCTGGTTGCCCCCTTGTTCTTCCTATTCTGACATCTAACCTGGGGTGGGGGGTGGGCATAGCCCACTACCACCTTGTCACTGGAAGTGGTTTGGTGACTATTACAGCTCTGTACAAAGGCCATTCGAGCAGTATTTTGGGTTTTTTTCCAGGTGTGAATCTTTTCCCCTCCCACAAAGAAGAATGGAAATGTTTGTAGAACTGTTTGTAAATTGTTTCTTCTGCAGTGATGAGTAAAATTAAAATTCTCTCTTTCAGGTTTTTATTCTATTGCGGAAAGTGAATACTTTTGAATATATTATTCTTATACGGATTGATAGTTTCCTGTATCCCTCACTCCCCTGCAAGGTGATTGCTGGGGTCAGCCCTCTGCTGGCGGCCCCTTGTGAGACTTCACAGAGGGCCTCTCCTTGAGCCCAGGCAGGCCCTGGAGCAGTTCCATCTTACCAGCAGTGAGGTAAGGGGATTCAAATGGGGGGGGGGGTGGTCAGCAACAGGGGTCCCCAGGGTCGATCAATTTTGAATTGTGGAAGGATCAGTGTGTCTGGTATGCTGGCCAAAGGTCAGTCTGACACTCTTCCTGGGAAGGTGTCCGTGGGAGTAGTCTCCCCAGACTGTGCCCTTAATTAGGGAATGGCCTGGGTCACAGGACCCCCACCCTCCTCCCTGAAACTGACCAGGGCTCAGGACTGATTCACCAGCCCCTGAGCTTTGGGTGGGCTGCCTGCCCAGATGTCAGGGATTGTTGGGGTTGTCTTTGGACAGCTCTTCCTCATTTGTCCTTTTGTTTGGAGTTCAGTGGTGACCAGTGCAGTATTCCTGAGCTTTTTGGGGGTCTTCTTGGCAGAGATACTGGGTGGAAAGTAGTTTGCCATTCCCTTCTACATCTTACAGATGAGGAAACTGAGGCAAACAGGTGTCTCTGAGGTTGGATTTGAACTCAGGGAGATGAGTCATCATGAGCCCAGGCCCAGCTCTGTCCACTGAGCCATCTAGCCTGGTTGCCCCTTGTTCTTCCTATTCTGACATCTAACCTGGGGTGGGGGTGGGCATAGCCCACTACCACCTTGTCACTGGAAGTGGTTTGGTGACTATTACAGCTCTGTACAAAGGCCATTCGAGCAGTATTTTGGGTTTTTTTCCAGGTGTGAATCTTTTTCCCCTCCCACAAAGAAGAATGGAAATGTTTGTACAACTGTTTGTAAATTGTTTCTTCTGAAGTGATGAGTAAAATTAAAATTCTCTCTTTCATTTTTATTCTATTGCGGAAAGTGAATACTTTTGAATATATTATTCTTATACGGATTGATAGTTTCCTGTATCCCTCACTCCCCTGCAAGGTGATTGCTGGGGTCAGCCCTCTGGTGGCCCCTTGTGAGACTTCACAGAGGGCCTCTCCTTGAGCCCAGGCAGGCCCTGGACAGTTCCATCTTACCAGCAGAGTGAGGTAAGGGGATTCAAATGGGGGGGGGGGTTGGTCAGCAACAGGGGTCCCCAGGGTCGATCAATTTTGAATTGTGGAAGGATCAGTGTGTCTGGTATGCTGGCCAAAGGTCAGTCTGACACTCTTCCTGGGAAGGCGTCCGTGGGAGAAGTCTCCCCAGACTGTGCCCTTAATTAGGGAATGGCCTGGGTCACAGGACCCCCACCTCCTCCCTGAAACTGACCAGGGCTCAGGACTGATTCACCAGCCCCTGAGCTTTGGGTGGGCTGCTGCCCAGATGTCAGGGATCATTGTTGGGGTTGTCTTTGGACAGCTCCTCCTCATCTGTCCTTTTGTTTGGAGTTCAGTGGTGACCAGTGCAGTATTCCTGAGCTTTTTGGGGGTCTTCTTGGCAGAGATACTGGGTGGAAAGTAGTTTGCCATTCCCTTCTACATCTTACAGATGAGGAAACTGAAGCAAACAGGTGTATCTGAGGTTGGATTTGAACTCAGGGAGATGAGTCATCATGAGCCCAGGCCCAGCTCTGTCCACTGAGCCATCTAGCCTGGTTGCCCCCTTGTTCTTCCTATTCTGACATTTAACCTCGGGTGCTGGGGACAGCCCACTACCACCTTGTCACTCGAGGTGGCTTGGTGACTATTACATCTCTGCACAAAGGAAATTGGAGGGCTTTGGGAGGGGGTTTTCCAGTGTGAATCTTTGTAGAACTAATTGTTTGTAAATTGTTTCTAGTGAAGTGATGGGTAAAATTAATTTTTTTTTTCAGGTTTCATTCTAGTGCGGAAAATGAATATTTTGGGATATTATTGTATTATAACAAAGTCAGGTGTTCATGCTTTCCGGTACCTGCTAAACAAAATTACTTGTTATTTTGGAAGGTGAGAGCCAAAAATCCGTATTCTTACTTTGGTGACTAAAGACATGTCATAGCAAAACAGGAATGTTGCTGAGGGGCCAGCACTTAGCTTTGCCCCTTCTTTGAAATCTCCTTTTTTATTTCTGCTTTGTTCTTTTTTACTTTGTTCTCCGTCCCCCACCCCCATAGTTGATCCTCTTTCACATTGTAAAGTTTTGACTTTAAAAATCTTGACAAAACTGTATACTTCTTTTAAACTGGGAAATTAAGCCGAAACTTTACCTCCTTTGTTGGAAATGTGTCAAACATACACTGGTGTTGGCAAAGACTGAAACATTTGATGCATTTTCTAAGCCTTACTATAATATCCCTAAAGGAAATTAAAAGTGTTTGCATGTGTTCATTAAAATCATGTCCTAAATCTTGACTATGTGCAACTGCCCAGCTTTAACTAAGCAAACCCTGCCCTTTATTCAATTGAATTCAAGGCCCAGAGAACTCTTGTGTGGTGACAGGAGACCAGAGCACCTGCTTGTCAGAAATCCTTCTGCCATGTGGGAGAGAGGAAGCCCTTCACTGTTTTTAGTGGAATTTAGTTGGATCAAAATTAGGTCCACTTTCAACTAAGGTGATACAATTCTGCATGCAGCCCCCCCTGGCTTTGGAAAAGACAGCCTAGGGCACCCACGAAGTAATAGGAGTGTGCTTTCTAGTTGGCTGTGGAATTTAAAATCAAGAGTAATCATTTTTTTGCTAACTCATCCTTTATTCGCATAATACCACCATGGTTGCTTTTGCTTTTAAGATCGATCAAACTAAGATAATTTCCTGATGTAAGGGAGAAATTTTGCTGCTCAGGAAAGTACTTTTTTTACCACGTGATGACTGGTGGTGGCAGGGATTATTTGCTTTACCAGTTTGGATTGTGATTTGTTGTGTTACTGACCTGACCTACAAAGAGATCTCTCCTTTCCGTTCTTACAAACTAGTTTAAACCCTACGTCTTATAAGTTGAAGAACTTTCCTGTCTTTAAATTGCACCATTCCTACCAAACCTCCCTACACACACACACACACCCCCTGCCATCAAATGATTGTTCTCCTTACTTTGGTGTTCCTTAAAGAAGACACACACTTGACTTTTTAAGCATTTATCTTAACCATCCTTCTCTTCCCCCCTCCAAATGCCTGGAACACTCCCACTCCCTCCTTCTCATCTTCACCTCCTGGCTTCCCTGGCTTTCTTCAAGTCTCAGTTAACATCCCATCTTTGGCAAAGAAGCCTGGCTGCCTCCTTTCTTCACAACATCAGGGCCATAGTCACGAGTTCCTTTATTAAATAGGTAATCAGATATATGCCTTTGAATTCTAGAAGGAAAGAAAAAGCCAAGTATGATTAATTATTCTTTTAGTATGGAAACCAGGCGCTCATTTTTAAGCTAATAATTGTATAGGCATGTGCCAGTGTATGCTATTTGATATTATGTATGTACATCATTAGGTGGTAATTAGCTTGGTTGCCAGTTTTTAATACAACATTTTAAAATCGTTATTTTTAAACCATCTTTACCTTACCTCTAACCCTCTTCAGATTTGAATATCAACATGGCTTTCTAAGCCAAAGAGAGCTAAGAACGCCTTCAGAAACAAAAAACAAAGAGGTATGAAAGTATAATGTTTGTTCTATTTTGACCTTCTAGAGGTCTTCCAATAATTCTTCTGGGCTTTTCATGTCTGATTTTGCTCAGTCAGTGATGGGGTTGACAGTTTTAATTCTGTTGCTAACACGTAGAATTAATTCATGATTTTAACACTGACATCTGTAAAAAGATTCAGACATTATCATATCAGATATTTTCTTGGCCATCTTTTTGAAGTCTGAGGTTCTTTCTTATAAGGTGGACCCTACTTGATTGATGCAAAAATAAGTTTAATCAAAACTCGTGTAGAATATGATGCATGTTGTAAGCAATCAGAACAATGTATATGTATCTTGAGATTCAAAGAACTTTACAACAAAGTTATAACAGTTTACTTATTCATGAAAATAATGGGTGTTTAGCTTTATCATGGGAATTAACTGGATAAGGGGGCATGGGGAGGGAGGGGCATAGTATCTTTATAACAGTGGTATTCTCCTTATAGTCACAAAGTACATGTAAACGTTAATAAGCACCTGTACCGATTCACAGGTGATACCAACTCCATCCCGAAGTACCTCAGTTTTGGGCCCTGGTCAGTAACTGTTTCCTTGTTTATGTTTTGGTTTTTTTATTTGGGGGGGGGAACAACAGTAGAACCTTGTTCAGCAATAGGTTAGAAGTGAAACTAAGTGAAGAAAAGAAATAGATTAAATTTAAAGTAATACTTAACATTGTGGCCTGGAGCTAGATAATGGGGTTAGGATAGGGGAGAGGATGAGGGGGGGTTAGAGGTTAGAGAGCAGCTTAGCTAATCTTGTTAGGATCATTTTATACAAGTATGTGAGCCCGACATGTGCTTTTTGAGGAGTGGTGGCAATGCCCACCTGCCCAAACTGAAGAGAGAGGGTTCACCTATTGAGCAGCCTGTTCTCAAAGAGAGCACAGGTGAATCTGTAGATTTGGCTAAAAATAAAGGACGTCCAAAGAACAGTGGCAGTAATCCATTTAGTAATGCAAAGAAAGCTTCAAATTCAGAACAAACATTAAAAGAAATTGAAGATGAACCATATTTCAAAGACTTGTTGGAAATGAAAGTTTCTAATACATGTCTTTCTCCCGGACCAGGTAATTCCTCTACCGGTCCCACAAAGAACCCGTTGAGCTTTCTTCCAACACTATCTTCAAAAGATGATGATGAAACCTCTAACAGATGGTTAGATGAGGATGGAGGTGATGAGATACCTTATTGTGTATCACCTGATATCAGTGACTTTGATATCAGTGATTTTGACTCCTCTTCTGACTCAAGTACTCACCTACTGGATAAATCTTAATTTCTAAAGAGATTTTACATTTCTGCCATTTGTGTGTAGTAGTCTGTATAGTCTACATTTAAACATGTTTATAAGATACATTTAGTTTGGGTTCTTCTTTTGTAGACAGAGGGAGTTTTTCTGATGCAAGTTGATCAGCTCACTTCCTTTCTCTCTCAAAATTATGGATTGCCTGTCTCCTCAACAGATCCAGATAATGAAAAGTTAAATTGTTAGGGTCATTGATAACTGATAACCCATCCAAAGATGCCATCAGGAGGAGGACATTGGAAAGGCAACACTTCATTTTTTTGCTCCCAAAGCCCCCTCGACACATTTTAACAGTGCTTTGTAGGAGGGATTCAGAGTTGGATTCTAGGCAACACAGAACATCCTCTTGAGAAGTCTTTGGAAAGTTCCTTCACATCCCAATCAGTTTCAGGCTATAATGTGTGTGTATTCATATCTTTCTGTTGTATTCAGCATGTGGAGTTAAGTACATTAAATAAACATATATATATATATATATATATATATATATATACATATATATATATATGGTGCATATACAAATATATGTATGTATATATATATATATATATATATATATATATATATATATACATGTTACTGAGAATAACAAATCACGTGAAAAAAGGAGGAGAGTTTCTTTTGGAGCCCCTCTGAGACCCGAATTATTTGATGGAAATTTACCTCCCAATACACCTCTTGAAAAAGGAGAAAGCCCAGAGACGAGCAAAACAGCATCCACAACCTGGGTCCCGAGAAACTCAATGATGAAGGTACAATATTTTAGACAAGCATTTAATCTGTCTGTAGTTGAAATTATGCATTTCTCTATGATCCATACCCTAACTGCATTTTTAACAAGTACTGGTATATATTATCCTATCTTCAAAAATGATTTCCTACGAAATATCTTTTCAAATGGAGAGAGTTCAGTTATTTGTTGTTATGTTGGCTTCTCATACACTAGGGACTCAAAGTATTCCAGCCTGTAAGGGGAGCATCATGTCTTGATAGAGAACATGCGTGAACACGCTTGAGTGCCCTGAGTTTCTCTAGGTCTGCTATGGTTATTGCAGTGTTTAAAAGAAAAGCTGAGACATAAAATCTCACTTAACATTTGCCATCATACATAGCATGTGATGCACAAAATAAGCAAAACCTTTTTTTGCCCATTATACACTCTGCCTTAATCAGACCCTAAAACTTGTAAGACCTCAGAGCATCAAAGGGAGGTGACGTGTACAGGGTAGGGCCCTCAGACTCTAAACATGTTCAGCTTCTGCTTTGTGCTGCTGCTATTCGTTTTATACTTAGGGGGGCAAGTCATATAGTCCCTATTTCCTAGGGTCATTGGGAAAAGAGAAAGTTCTTTGCTACCCTGACAAGTGCTGCTAGGTAAAGAAATGAATCCTTTGCCAAACAACACTCCTAACAGTATGCCCCTGTAGTTATGGTTGCTGCCACTGGGTGGTGGTAGACAGTAATCTGCAGCACTGAGCTCTAGTAGTGATGGAAAACTCCCTTCATGCTTTTCGAGCTGATGGCAGGGGTCCCATCTACAGCAAACCAGTGAACTTGCCAGCATTCCTAACAAGTGGCCAGACAGGCTTTGTCTGAGGACCTCATCTACCTCCAATTGCCTTGGGGAAGCAATCCTTTCCAACTTTGGGGTAGCGTAGCTTTTATTGGTAGGAAGGCAAGGCCTAAACTAACATTCTCAGGACCAATGGTGGCTGGCATCATTGTTATACAGAGACATACATGTTGCTATATCCGTCTCACTGCTACCTGGCAGCAGGGGGAGACTTTTGTCCCCAAAGCTCATTGAGCCTCGAGGGGTGCCTTTGCAGAGATCGTCTCTGGAGGATTAGCCCTCAGAGGGTTGTTGTCAGACTCAAATGAAATGTCTGTTACAGGCTTTTGATGCACCTTGGCCATATTCAGTCATTTATTAGGGAACCGTAGCACATCTTGTCATTTATAAACTGTATAAAAATGTCCACTGCAGCAGACGCATTCTAAACCACCAGAAAAAGAGCCTTCCCCCAGTGTAGTGGAAGGGATACCGCCATGTACAAAAGACCCACACCAACAGCTTCCTGCCATTCCTAATAAGAAGTCTGCACCGAGCAGGGATAACATCACCTTGTCAAAATTCGTGGAGGAGAGAACAACATCTATTCCCGAAATCCAGACCATCCAGCCCCACAAGACCCTGAGCACACCATCGGTCTGGAGGAGATCCTCCTCTGCAAGAAGAAGCCAGGTTTTGGATGCGCTACAGACGATTGACTCCAACAGAGGAGCACCAAAAGACAATCTCATGGGTATTTGAGCAGGGAATCATTTTCCGATGGTTTTTACAGGCAGGGGGCAGGCAGTCCCCTGGCTTCAAAGAGCTTAAGACATCAGTCTACCAACACAGGGAATGGACGTAGGAGGAACAGTAAGAAGGCCAGTATATGGCTGGATCAGACAGTGCAGAGCTGTGTGCGGGGCTTGAGGTAAAAGGTGTAAATAAAACAAGGCTGGAAAAGCTAGTAATCTCATGGGAGTGATAGAAAGCTGCTTTTAGAGTTTGTCAGTAACAGGAAGGAGTGGAGACATGATGGGTAAGACTTGTGTGCTGGGGTTAGCCAAAATCACTTTGGCAACTACTGCAGGAAAGAGAAAAGGAGGGAAAACAGGAATTCGGCACTTGTTACAAATCAGTTTGCAGTGAGAGTAGGGGGGCAGCTTTTAGATACAGTATCTGGTGGTATTTGTGAGTGAAGAGAAAAGAGGAGTTTGACCTGATAGATGTGGGGAGAAGAGATAAATGGCAACATTTGGCTGGATGTATCCAGCAAGAAAGTGGGGGAGAGAATGCCTTGAAGTGAGTTGGGTGACTAGAAATAGAGAAGATATCGTGGTTAGGGAGGTTTGGTTTTCTCTTTGTTGATTGTTTTATCCAAAAAATGTTCATTTATGTTCTGTTTGAATGAATTTTATTTGTATTAATTGTTGGTTACTTTCCTTAACAGTTGTACACTCTTGGGCAGATGTGGTGAGATTAGGTACTAAAAAAACCACAAGCACACGTTGTTACAAAACATGGTCTTGAGAGAAGGATAATAAAAAAGCAGAAGAGATTAACCCCCAAGGTCAAGGTACATTACAGAAATGTGGAGATCATTTTTACGTGTGTGTGTGTGTGTGTGTGTGTGTGTGCGCGTGTTATACATATACATAATACATGTGTGTATATACATATATATCATCATGTGTATTACACATTTACATTTGTGTACTTAGGAATGTCATCTGAGCAAACATTAAGAAATACTGAATTTATTTTTGGAAATGTTTCTTTTTCCTTTACAGAAGAAGCCTGCAAACCACTCACAGAATCACTTTAGCACAAGCTTCGCAAACTCTCCCTGCACCCTAGTGATTGGCAGAGCTCATACTGAAAAAGTGACCGAGCCTGTATGGCCCTGTATGATGCTGAACAACTTTGTTTTAAACCCTAAGATGGATATGAATGAGGATTTAGCAGGTGAAAGAGTGTGCACAGAAGGCCATGAGAATGTCATGCAGTGTGTTTGTAGATGCACAATTTTAAAAGAGCTGATAGAAGTGCTCCCCACCTCCTTACAGAAGGGGGAGCGTGCATTCTTGAGAGGTCCTGGCCAATTGTTGTGGTCGGATCTGGTGGGATAGCCTATCTTTTCAGCTACAAACAAACCAGCCCCATGATAACTCTGAGTTGGCATAGTTATGCCTCTGGGCAGGGCTAGGCTGTATCTTGCGGTATATGGTCGGGAAGAATAAAGGTGGTTGTGAAGCAACAAGAGAAGCAGACAGACTGGCCTAAATGCCAGTCAAGAACTGAAAGCCAGTGGAAGGAAGCAGGAAAGGAGAGTTGAGTTTGCAGCCTAGGTTGGGGGCCTTGGACTTTGAAAAGAAATCATTATGCCTAATGAGCAGAGGGAGTCTGTTGCATTGTTTGAAGTAGGAATGAGAGTCAAGAGTTTGCATCTAGATTGATTGCATGCCCGGGATTTTGAGAAGAGATCTCTTTATGAATAGAATGGAAGGGGACTCTGTCCCATTGTTTTCTTGTTGGAAGAGGGTGGAATATGACTTTTTTACTTTTAAAAAATACATATCTGTAATATATACAGTACATACGCATATATGATGTTCTATGTTTTTATTGCATACATTAATGTTACTTATTTTCTTCATTAATAGAATTACCAGGCATGTTTGAAACCTCCATCAAAAAGTAAACTGCAAATGTGTCTCCTGAGATTGGTAGAGATTTACACAATTCTTCAGGAGATGAAGACTCTTTAGAACGTAGGTTACATGATGACTCTAGTGCTTGGTTTTTCTTTTTTTCTTCTGTGAAACTTTGGAATGGCAAGTTATGATTTGCCCTTGCCATGCCAGTAGAGGTTTCATGAGTTGCTATAGCTAACCTTCAACCCAAAGGGCTGGTCCCTCACTGAATCACAATGACATAACCTATCCATGTAGAATTTTTACTTTATGATGAATAAGGAGAGCTAACATCTAAACGTAGTTCAGACATTCTTGTGATGTGACAATTTAGACATTTCTTATAAGTTATACTTAGCAACTATACAAAGAATCTTTGACTTCAATCTCCCCCATCCAATTGCAAGTCTTGTCAGTTCTCTCTCCAAGGATAAAGGGATGTATCCCTTTTTTCCTACTACAGTGGCCAGCACTCTACTTCTAGGCCCTAATTGCCTCTAGCCCTTAACTGTTAAAATAACTTCCTAATTGGCCTCCTCTCCACAATCCTTCCCTTCATACAGTTTTCAACGTTATTTTCCTAAAGTGCAGATCCAACCCATAGTAATTAGTATGCCCAAGAATCTTTAGTTGGCTTCCTCGTCCTTTAGGACTAAACGCAAACTCCCCAAACTCACTTTATTTCATATTGCTCTCCTTCATGTACTCTGTATTCCAACCAAACTAGCCATAACTTAAAGGTATATATGTCTATATATTATATTTACATGTAATGCAACATATCTATCTATATTTATGTGTCTATGTATCTATCTAGTTATATCTAGATATATATATATTTTTAACCTGGATAGGCACAGATCTGCAGATTTGCATCATCTTACTAAATATTATTATCATTGGCCAGGAAAACACAAGACTACAAAATAATAATTTGGGTAGACCTTTAATTCATAAAGAAGAATTAGTCCCTAGACTAGTGAGTGGAGGCATAGTCTTTGTTTCATAATTATCTTTATTCTGTCATTTATTACAGCAGAGAAACTGATACGTACTATTCCTAACACAGTGGAACAGCTATATGGCCAGAGCATGATATGCTGCCCTGCAAATGAAATCATTCAAACCCTAAAGAAGATCCCTGAAATTGGAAGTGGTGAAATAACAAAGATGCCACTTCAAGAA